AACTCACGAAACAAGCTCATTTTTATTGATTTTGCATAAACTGAAGTAAAACATTACTCTGAACACTTTTCATGTTTTGAACTTTTCCGAAAAAAATCATCTTGGGGCAGTTTCTTTTCATTTTCAGCATCAGATTTTTCGGGTGAATTTTGTCTAGGTTCTTCTATCAAGTTTTTCTCTCAACCTGTTCAGTTTATGCTAAATTCGTTCACTTAGTATTTTAGAAAATTTGATTCTGTACAACTTTTATTCTTTGATTTTTGGTCAATTTGAATTATTTAAGCATGAAACGGTACATTTTTGTACTTCTTCAGCAAGTTATTTATGATTAAATTATACTAATTTTATTTTTTGCAGAATTATGGGTCGTACTAAGTTTTTATCTAGGGCTGACCCACCATATTTTAATTTTTATTTTGTTTATTTTATACTCAATTTATATTTCGTTGTGTACGGGCAAGAAACTAAATGCCACCGTATCTCGGGAAACTACCCATTCGTCTCGGTGTGGATGAAACTACTTGTCTTATCCCGCAACAAGAATTAAATGTATTTTTTTTTTGGGTCTGGTGGACACATGGGTGTCAAATATTTGTACTCATACCAGTATATTTGTATACTGACCCGTTTTGTCTCTTGGCATCTCAGGTGCGTTTTGTTTGAGCATAGTCAACGTTCCTTCGTAGGATTAGTTAGGACTACGGTGGTGAAGAGAAATAACTATAGTAGTTGGACATGTTGTTTGGACTTCTTTTGTTTTATTGAGTTTAGGGTTGATATTAGTTTATGTATTTATTATTTTTTTATGACCTTGGTATTTTGATAATTTGGCATGGTTTGTAACTTTATATTATTTAAGTTATTGTGACTATTTATTGTTACTTTAACGCTGGAGGTATTGGTTAGTTATGAAATTATGGTAGATGGTTTGGTTGGCATTTTGTTAGGTTTTTTTTTATCCCTTGTAATCTTTTGAGGATGGAAATTTACTTAAACCCTTGGAAGACATGAACGTTTAGATTTTGTTACACCCCTAGGATTTGGATGATGGAATATTGATTGGAGTTTCATCCTAATTTAATATTTAGTTGTTCAAATTTTAGGGCGTGACATAGATTTTAAAAATGATCTCATCCAAGCTTTCCAAAAGGAATAATTGGATCCATCAAGTGGGGGTGGTCGAATCACAGAATTTCCCTTACGAACTGAATCCATTATCACAAATCAATAGGATCTCGCTCTAAAAGATTTTTTTTTTTTTAAATAGAGCAACCTGCTCTAATACCAATTGAAAAATCTAGAAATCCCCTATATATTGATTTGTGATTATATATCAATTTTAAGCAGTAAATAACAATCCCAATCAAACAATCAAGACAAATAGACACAACGATTTTAACGTGCAAAAATCACAATTGGAGCGTCTCCAATTGTGATAAAAAATCACAGGCCCAAGCCACAAAACAATTCACTAAGAAGACAAAATGAATTACATAAATGTACTCTCAATTACCTAGGGAATCTACGCCTGAATTAAACGACCCCTATATGCCTCTTCCACCACGGTCTTCACCTCGGAATTGTCTTTCCCAACGTTGAATCCACAACGTCGATGTCAAATCCATGATGATGAGCCACTCCAGAATCCACCAAAGCTTCAGGCCGAAATTCCACAGAATCCACCAAGGAACAACTCTCTCTTTTGTATAGACTAAAGAAACAATCCTTTTATGTGTCTTCTCAAACCATGAGTTAAATACTCAATTAAACATCAAAGAAAACTAGCAAAATAGCCCCAGAGGAAAACCCTAGAACCCTCAAAGAAGATATGGAAGTCGTACCCTAAAATCTGACTAAAACACATATTTATAAAAAATTGAATCGTGCTTTCAGCTCGAGCACAGGAATGGCTGCTCGAGCAGACCTTGCTCGAGTCCAGGAAAGTTCGTTAGAGCATAAAATCCCAACTTCTAGTACTTTTGCAGACAAGTCAAACTTTTGGAACCAAACGTTCTCTGCTTGAGGGGCACAAACGGTTGCTCGAGTAGACAAGCACCTTTGAATGCATTGTTACATTTTGCTTCAGGGGCACTGTCCCTCGACCCTGCCTGGACGCTGCCCTGAACCCGCCAAAGGGCGTTGCCCCTTGGACCCTCGCTAGCTGACCGGGCAGTTCAATCCTTGACATAGTCAGCGAAGTGGCAAACATGAAAGAATAAACTTTAATTAACTTTTGAAACATCGCTGCAAACAATTCAGGTTGGATTAGCATCTAAAACTCAAAGCCTTAATGAAATAAAAGATCGAATAAAAATACAACTGAAAAGAGTTTTGTCAAATGGGATTGTCAAGAATAAAAACCTAACAGGTAGGAGTGTAAAAATGGCCCGTGGCCAGTGGGTGGACCGAAGCCTACCCGTGGCCCGGGGTGGGGCCGACCCGTTTGGGCCCGAGACTAGGCCGAGACCCTAGGCCTGGGCTGGGCTATCACTTTAAAGCCTGGTCCAGCCCACTGCGCCTCGCCTGGCTAGACCCGTGGGCCAACCCATCGGCCTACGGGAAGGCCTACTCAAGGCCCGACTTGCCCAAGGCCCAATGTCATTTTAGTGGAAAATAATAAAATTTTGGTTGAAAAAATAACAAAAAATAAAAAAATATGTTCAGGCATGCCCGAGCCCGAGCCCGAGCCCGAGCCCGAGCCCAAGCCCAAGCCTAGGCCCACCAACCCACCCAAGTCTCGAATACCCCTGAGCCTGGGCCTAATTTTCTGACCCGTGGGCCAGCCCGATCTGAATTTTGGTGGGAACTAGTGAGGCTTGACATGGGTCTGGTCGGGCTAGGCCAAATTTACACTCCTATGAGTGGGTGAATAATGAGTGGTCGGTGGTTTGTGGTTGTTTGTGAGTGAATGGTGGATGAATAATGGGTGGCTGTTAGTGAATGAATGTTAAATGAATAATAAATGGTTGTTGGTGGATAGTTGTTTGTGAGTGAATGGTAAGTGAATAATGGGTGGTTGTTGGTGGGTGGTTATTAGTGAATGCATGTTGGGTGATTGTTGGTGGATGGGTTTTTAATTTTGTAGTGGTATGTTTTTTGATGGGGTGAATTATATTTTAAAAAAATTCAATTTTTTATTATTTTTTATATTTATCTAGTTGGGTTGAATGTAAATATTTAATTTTTTTAGAAAAAGTTTGAAAAATGTCACAAAAGACAAAAAACAAACAATAAAAAATTATTGTAAAATCTATATCAAAACAACACTTACAAAATTAGAGGAAAAGTTAGTTGAAATTTGCTAAAATGGCATGTGACCATTGGACCGTCATTACTATAATTTGACAATTTTCTATTATTTATTGTCAAATTATAACAATGACAAATACTATTATAGCATTTTCCATTAGAGATGCTCTAATTTGTCATGTAAAATGGGTCACTCAGAGGAATTAACAATGAATTGTATAAAAGGATACAATACTTATGCAACACTTGTCATTGCACTATTGATTCACAATTTTTCCTTATGTATTCCACGAAAGAATTAAATGACCAAGATTTTTATAGAAAATTTTAAGGTGATTCTATTTACATATCACTAATTCATTGAATGCATACCATTACTTAGTATACATATAAGATAATTTTTAAGATTTTAAAATTTCTTAGTTCACCTCTTAACTTTCCGTTACTAGCTCTATGGTAACACACCACTTGTCTTTGAATACACACCATGACACACACCAAAAACTCTCATCTTCAGAACAGAGACCTCCATCTTCAGAGATCTTCATCGTCAGTGTTGAACTCCATTGCCAGCAGAGGGTTTCATTCGGCCTCTATCTTCGTTGTCATCTCGCTGGTACATTGTCGTTCTTCATCTTTGTCGTTGTCTCACCATTGTTTTGCCGTTAAAAAAATAATAATAATAAAATAAAATAAAATAAAAAATAAAATAGTCATATTCATGAATACAGAGTTGAACAAGCTTAATGTGTTCAAAAAATTATATCTAAACAAAGAATAAAAGTTTAATTTATTTTAACCGAACTAACTTAAATGTTCAATTTTTTTTACGTATGAACATTTAATATTTGATGATTAACCTTAATAATTTGAACAAAATTGTTTTGTTCAAATATAAATAATAGAATATTGTGTAAAAGTTCAACTTTAGTTATTTGAACACATGACGAACAAACTCGTCTTCCTTACATATGAACGAAATAAATAAAAAGCCAAAAAGCTAAGTAATAAACTAGCATTTTCAATGTTCAAATCAACATTTCAATGTTTATATTAGAATCAACCATCTCAATGTCATCCATGCTATGCAAATCTTCAAAACTAATTAATTTCAAATGTTCTTAAATTCTAAATCTTTAATGGTAATAATGTTTTCAGTTTGGGAAATAAGTACAATGGAGAAGCAAATGAAGTGAACTAATTGATAATAAATTATATCATGTGTAGTGTGTTAACTGTGAAGATAATGAAAAAATACAGTATTTATATGTTTAAACCATAAACCTTAGAGGTGATGATGGTGTGTGAAGAATATTTTGTGTTTTTAAATATAAAATCTTTGAATGGCTAGAATAAACCCCCATGTTGTCCTTAATGGTCATTTTATTTGAGGATATTATTGGAACATAAATTTAATCTGTTAATGGTGTGTACTAAAAGGATTAGTGATGTATAAATAGAATTACTCAAAATTTTATTTGAAATAACATGACAATGACATTTTTTGTATAAGAATTTATGCAAAAATCTCACGTTCCATTACTTGGTCAAGTTAAACAAAGTCTAACAAAGACTCGCAAGAGTGTGTAAAACAAAAAAGACATAATTAAGGTCATGGCTCATTGGCAGGAGTTTTCTAATAGTTTGATGACTACAAGAGTAACAAGTAGAAGCGGGTGATGAATATGAGAAATTTGAATTGAATGACATTTAACTAAAATTAAGCTCATTTTCTCTTCTGTAGGCCAGCATCAGAAAAATATTCCATTCAAGTTTCTAACAATATTTAACAAAGACTTGTAACAGTGAGCAAGGAATTTTCCTAACCCAAAATCACCAACATGCCCAGTCATATCTTTGTCCAGAAGAATGTTGCTTGGCTTAAGATCGCAGTGGACTATTGGGGATTGGGCCTGGTTGTGAAGATAATTCAGGGCACAAGAAACATCAATGATAATATTTAGTCTTTGAAGAAGGTTTAGCTTCTTAAACTCTTCATTTGACAAATCTTCATTGCAATTTTGATGTAACCACTCTTCAAGGCTCCCATTGACCATGAACTCATAAACCAGGGCCTTGAAGTCATGACCCTGATAATCTATCGTCGAACATGCCGTTAGCACCTTGACAAGATTGATGTCTGATGTTTCTTAGTGCCTCACATTCTGATACAAAACTCTTTGAAGCTCCATGTCGCAAAATTTTAAGTACCTTCACAGCGACAATTCTTCCATCAATAACTCCTTTGTACACAGACCCGAAACTACCAACACCGATTAAATTGAATGATGAGAAGCCATCAGTGGCTTTAACAAGAGTTTGGTAAGACACCCTCAGGAGTAAATTTTTTGATGAATATGAAGGAGTGTCTTTTCTTCTCTTTCTAAACCAACAACGATATAGAGCACACCCCATGAGAGCTAGTCCTACAAAACCAAAGGGTATAGAGAGTGCTAAAGCTAAGGCACTATTTGATCTCCTCTTTTCATCCACTTTCAAGTTGCATTTAGGTAGCTTCAATTCAGCTACCCCCCCACAGAGCTTAGTGTTTCCCACCACTGATATTTCACTTGCATTACTGAATACACCTTGTGTTGGTACTACACCTTCAAAATTATTAAAAGACAGAATCAAATTTTGGAACAAGATAAAGCTCTCCAAGTACATAGGAATATCACCACACAAGTTATTGTTTGCGAGACCCAACTCTACAAGGCCTCTCAAGAAACTCAAAGAAGAAAGAATGGTTCCTTTGAAAAAGTTGTTCCCCAAATGCAGTGTTTCCAGGCTTGTGCAGCTGCCTAGAGTGCTCGGAATTTCACTGGATAACTAGTTGTACGAGGCATCCAAGTAACCAAGGTTTATCAAATTTGCAACTTCCGTGGGAAGAAAACCACTCAATTGGTTTTGGGATAGGTCTAGCGATATAGATAAGGATGAGATAGAAACAACTTGTTTTGGTATGGCACCAGTAAGGTTGTTTTGAGAAAGAACAACATTTGCAAATTACTACAATTCCCTAGGCTCGGAGGAATGCTTCCATGAAAATTATTGATTCTTAAAGCAAGTATACTTAATAAACTCAGATTTCCTAGGGAAGAGGGAATGTTACCAGACAATGAATTGTCGTCGAGATTCAATCTGCGTAGATTTTGAAGGTTTCCAATCTCACGTGGAATAGTACCAGTGAATTGGTTAAACTGCATATTCAAACTCTGCAATCCAACATGATTTAGTATCCCAGGTGGAATGATTCCGAATATATGATTGTGGTCTATATTCAAATATTCAAGGTTTCTCGAGAGATTACCAATGTATTCTAGAAACTTGCAGCCAAAATTGTTGATGTTCACTTCCAAACGGTGTAAATTGGTGGCATTGATCAAAGAAAAGGTAAAGTTCAAGTCATCAGCTTCCCCGAATCCAAGCTGATTGTTTGCAAGGAGTAGCCTCTCGAGGTTTTGCAGTCTCGATAAATTAGGAACCTTTCCAGTAAGTTTGTTTTGAACCGTTTCTAGGGAATAGAGTTTAGATGCATTCGATATTGAAACTGGAATTGATCCTGTAAATTGATTTTCATTAATGCCGAAGAGTTCAAGATTGGGAGAGTGATTCCCAAGTCCCAGGGAAGACTTCCCTGAATTTGGTTAACAGTGACATCAAAAGTTGTGAGAGAAGAGTGGTTGAAGAACGAGGCAGGGATGACGCCAGACAAAGTAGTTGTTATCTACTTTGACGGCAGGGATAACAACTACTTTGACGGAAAGGTTCCTAAAGAGTTTAGATGCATTCGATATTGAAGTAGTTGTTATCTAAATACAAGTTGCGAAGAGATGACAAATTCACGAAAGGAAAGATACTCCCTCTAAGATTGTTGGCCTCCGTAATTACTATTTCGAGCTTCAACAAGGATCCCAGCTCCACAGGAACTTCTCCTACAAACCCATTGTGAGAAAAATCGATGGAAATGAGGTTAGCACAACGAGATATATTTATAGCAATTTGGCCACCAATTAAATCGTTGCTCAGCTGCAAAATCTGCAGCCTTGGCAAACAGCCAATTTCTGGGGGAATTTCATCGCCAAAGCTATTGTTCTGAATCAGTAACTCCCTCAGAAAGCTTAAATTCCCGAGGTGTGGTGATATCGATCCCACCAGTTCCTGGGAATGTAAGTCCAAGGCAGTGACCCTCTGATGCCTGCGGCTACACGTAACGCCCTGCCATTGACAGAAGTGGATAGAGTCATTCCAGGAGCTCAAAGCATACAGTGGATCCTCAATTATTTTGGCCTTGATTGCCAGCAATGAAAGCCGGTCGGTCTCATTCCCCATTAGCCTGGAGCTGGAAATAGTAGCAGTAAAGCCAGAGTTGAACATGGTCAAACAAGATAAGAGTATTAGATGAATATGCAAATTGTGAACTAGCCACGACATGCACAACCTTAAGCTTGGAAGCCCCATTGAGCAAAGAAAATGTATGGCTGTGTTTTGGTCAACTGCCTTTTTATGCTAAGTATATTGCATGGCTGGCTCACGAGCAAGCCGGCAAAACGGCCACTTTGACCCACTAGATTTGGACTAAAAAAAACGGACCCCATTTAGAAAAAAAATTCTTATAAAATTTAACACAATTTTTTTCAAGGGTAAATTATCAATGTCTTAATAATTGGATTTAATTCTTATCAAGTTTTATTGAAAACAAGTCATAGTAAAATTTTCATTAAAAATATTTTTTTGGTGACGATTTTTTACATGTCCCTAAAAATTGACAATTAACGACCTTTTTTTATCACTATTTTTATTAATTGTCGTTAAAACTTACATTTAATGACTTTTTCTATTACGAATTTTTTAAACTGTCGCTGGATGTTAAAAATTAGTGGCTTTTATTTGTGACGATTTTTTTAATCTGTTACTAAAAATTATAATTAAAGACATTTTTTTATGACAAAATTTTTAAATTGTTGCTAAAAATTAACAATTGGTGACGCTTTTTAATAGTGTTTGATAAAAAAAATGCCATGAATTATCATAGGAATTATTGAACAATAAGTCTATGTATTAGGACCTACACGTAAGTCTCTTATTTATTTATTTATTTATTTATTAGACCTCAATTAAATAGAGAGCCCAAACACCAAATCAAAAACAAAACTGTTTTTATTAGTAGCGGTACCTAGTTGCTTATCAAAATAAGTCCAACGTTTAATACCAAACTTAAAAATAAAATTAATATTAAGCCCAAAAATAAAAAAGAGATTTAATGATAGACCCCTCGGAGTCTAACTTGTCCTTCAAAAGGACAAGAATTATATAGATCCTTTCAAAACCTCCTAGTATTTTAAAATTTATTTCTTTTACTATAATACCCTCATATATACATATATATGTGTGTGTGTGTGCATATCAGATTGCAATCACTCTCCTCATTTCAATCTCTCTTCTCTCTGTCTCGCTCTTGTCAATGTTGCTCTTCATTTGTGCTATCACCGCTCTCCATCGATGTCACCGCTGCTCACCATTGAACTCTTTCTCTACCGTCTTTATCGCTACCATTACTTGTTGCATCCACAACTTCAGATCTGAGATCATTCACAGTCATCGTTACTGGGAAAATAACAATTTGCAATGGTCAAACCTCAACTCTGAGATCCTTCACTCTCTCTCTCTCTCTCTCTTTGGTTATGATAGTTCGTGCTCTCTCTCCCTCTCTTCTTCTTCTTCTTCTTCTTCTCTTGATCCTCTGTTTTTGAACTCTATCTCTCTATCTCTCTTTCTTTTTCTCATGATGCTCTGTTCTTCCAATAGTAAAATTTTACTCTGGTTCATGATATAACACTCTCATGTAAAGCCATCCTCGCAGCTTGTTTCAAAGTAAAATTTTACTTTGAATCATAATAAACTTTACTCTAATTTGGAGTAAAATTTTACTCTGTAATAAAAAAATGAGTAAAATTTTAATCTAAATCAGAGCAAAATTTATTATGATTCAAAGTAAAATTTTACTATCATTAAGCAGATCATCATGTTATTAACCAGAGTAAAATTTTACTGTTACAAAAACAGAGTACATACTAAATGAACAAACCAGAGTCAAATTTTACTTTTAGATCTATGAATAAGCAAGCAAAAAACTTTAGATTTTTCATTGCAATATTTCGATTTCTCATTTTTTTGGGTCAAATCTAAGGTTTTAAATCTCAAATATGAAGTTATTGATCTCAAATTTGAGTTCGCAGGTATCAAATCTGAGATGGTGGTGGTTTGACGGTAAAAATGGTGGTTACTAACCGACGGTGTGGATGACGCTGATAGACGATGAAGATGGTGGAGATGATGAACAACCGTAGAGTTAGTGGAGAGAGAGAGAGGGAGAGAGAGAGAGAGAGAGTGTGTGTGTGTGTGTGTGTGTGTGTGCACGTGCGCGCTATAAAAGAAAGAGAGGGTATAATGGTCAAATAAAATATTTAAATAACAAATTTTGTCCTTCACACAAGATTTTATAATTATGAGGGGATTTGAAAGTATTAAATTTGTTTTTGTCCTTTTAACAATATTCCCAAAATAAAATTATTTTTATTAGTGGAGGGCTCAAAGATTTTACTTTACCAAACTTCTCTTCAATTCAATTTACCATTTTGGAAATTGAACTTCCTTAGGTCTTGATATTCTTTTTTACCATTTTAAATTTTACTTTAATTGTTTGTTAACTTTACTTAAAAATAAAAATCTCTAGAAATTGAATAGATTGCTGCTTGTTGACACGTGAATATATTGGATTGTTTATTTAATTATACTACATAGAAATTATTTATCCATATATGAAAAAAAATATATATATATATATATATGTATATCTATAGTAGAATTAATTAAATCGCAATAAAGAGCTCTTAGTTTAATTTTGAAACAAAAAATGTAAGAATAATAATGTTTATTGTGGTACAATTGGTTCAATTTTTCTTTGAGGTTATTAACTGTGCACTATTAGAAATATGACTTTTCGCGTCTATTTTTTTGCGACGAATTATTTAACGGTCGCAAAAAATCATTTTTGAACATCAAAAAACTTATTTTACCATCTCATTTTTCTGTCCCAATCGTGTTCTTCAAAAAATAAAAAATAAATAAAAATCAGTATTTATTTCCCAAATCTGAGCTCTCTTTCTCTCCCTCTCAATTCCCTTTTTTTTTCCCCTTATTTCCCAAATCTGAGCTCTCTCTTTCTCTCCCTCTTAAAATCTGTCTCTCGCTCGAATCTCGCAGCCTCTCTCGCTCGAATTTGTCGCTCGAATCTCTCGCTCATATCTGTCGATCGATTCAACTTTCTCAATTCCACAGCTATTGAAGATTTCATAATCGGTAAGCCTAAACACATCTTCATCGATTCTACTGGTACAGTTCAACTTTTGATTTTCATTTACAGATGATCATAGCAACCTATATATAAATTTCACTGTCTACTTATCTTCACTTTTGTGGATCGAATTCTGGAATTATGATCCAGAGAGTTTGAATCTAAAATGATTTTTTTCTACATTTAGAATTAATTTCTCTAGTGTTGCAACCTATATATGAATTTCATTGTCCGCTTGTCTTCATTGTTTGTGGATCAAATTCTGGAATGTATATCCCTCTTCCTGATATATATGAATATATATACAACAAAACATGCAATTAGGTATGAGAAGTGAACAGATGAAGCAGAAGTACCTAAAGAGTTTTATAGCAATCATAACTGTTAGGCAATGAATCAGCTATGAACCGAAATGTGCGAATTAGTCTATGCACTTGATTTTTATTCCTATTAATATACTTGATTTTTATTCCTATAAATATACTTGAGTGTATTAGTCTAGGCTGATATTTATAACTGTGGTCTGAATACTCTTTTGCAATTCATATTAAGGTAAAGTAATCGAAATAGAGAATCTCCTTGAAGTAGAAAACTTGTGCAGAAGGATTTGAATGGTGTGTTTTTCTAAAAAAATTTCCCATTAATATCTTAAGGTGTAACTCTGATCTGCTTACATCTGTTTAGAAAGAGAATTTTGATGGGGCAGTGGGATTTACTCATGGAGGACTAGCTGTAGTGGCTAGAGGACCTTGCTGCTAGAGAAGTGTTGCATCTGTTAGCTGAGATGAGGTTCTCTTCCATTGTCCTTGAAGGAGATCCCCAAGTTATTATCCACTTGGCTTCTGGGAAATGGTCAGTGGCTCAAGAGTTGGATTGATCATTTATGATATGAAAGTTGAACCTGAGCCCCTAAATGGGATATGAGTTCAAGATGTAGAGAGATGTAGGCTGCTTAGTAAATATAGTATAGCTGCTAAAACTGAGATAAGTAGGCTTTTGTACCTATCTAGGGGCCATCTAGTCTCCTCATTAAGGTGAATGAGGTGCCACCTCACCAATCAGCAGTTCTTTTCACACTTCCACAATTCCCCCCTCGTATTCCTTCCTTGCAATCAGCAATTTGTTTTTGTCCCTATGTTCTAATACACTCGCATTTCATTCATGTTTTTGTTCTTTATATCCCAAACATTTTATAAATTTTTTACTAATTTTGTGCAATTAGTGAGTTCCAAGCTTTTTACTATCATATATATATTTTTAGTTGTGTAAGCAGATGTTTGTCAAGGATTTGATGAAGGATATGATTTTGGATAAGTTAGATGGTAAAAAGTACATGTTTAGCTAACCCAAAGTTGTTGCCTTCTACTTGATATGATTTGTGCAAAATAACATATAACTTGAAAGGCCCTAGTTCCCATCAAGGTAAAATTTAGTGTGAAGTTCAGTGCCATCCATATCAAATACAATACAAACTTCTTTGTATAAGCCAAGGAAAACCAAGATTTTTCATTAATAATCATTTTATAGCCAAATCTCAGAATTTTCCTATGTAAACCTTTTAATACCGTGTCAAATCAAAGTCAATATTTTCATAACAAATTGGCGAAATCATTTCACATTAAAGTACTAGTAAGTTTCTTAAAACTACCTACCTATTTCAAAATAGTGCTCATGTGGCAGTTTTAAGAAATATTTTGAAATTAAACAAATATTTTCTACTATACAGGTGTTGGCTTGTTCTTATTCCATGTTCTGGGATTCACATTTCATTGCCTATTGTATATTAATTTGGGGCTGTAAACCAGCTTCAATTTGATCCCTGCCCACCTTAAAACTGTCACTTGTGAAATATATCAGACTTGATTGTACTTTGTTAATTTCTCTTAGTTACAAATTCACAATAGGTTTGCTCCATGCCTTTGCTTAGTTACAAAGTCACTCTGGGATGATTGAGCTCAACCACCAGTCTGATAAACTAGTCCAAAGAAACTGATTTCATGTGGCTATGTCCACGGGGGTTCAAATGCTGAGCAAAAACTGTTGTTCCAAGTTACTTTGGGTTTTCTAGAAATTGAGAGCAGCTTTAAGCAAACACCACTTTCCTTTTTATTGCTCGTGCATCATTGCTAGCAGTAAGTCAAGTGAGATATCCAAGAAAACAACCCAATTTGGAATTCCTTCATTAATCATCTATGACATTATTATGGACGTTATTGTTGTTGGAATTTAATCCTGAGCCATGCTTTTGTTCTGGTCATTTCAGTCAAAAGCAATGATAAAATGGCAAAGCTTATCTGATGATATTTTGATAAGCTGGCTCATCATCTGTAAGAATAGTAACCCTCTAGGCGATTTCAAATCATTTTTTAGGGGAAAAAAAAAAGGAAGAAAAAAAAGAAACACTCACTAGAACAGAATATGCACTCAAATAGTGGCATTTTTTATTTGAATTTGAATACAAACCAGAAAGGCAAGAAAACACCACCACGGACCACCCTTGCTTCGTCTAGCTCACCTTCATTCATTTGAAACTCATACATACATATATATGGATATGGTAGAGAGTAGGCAGTGTCTAGAGTAGGGGTAAAGGCTAGAAAAGTAGGTAGTTAAACCAAGAGGGGGTATTGTTAAGTTAAAAGACTTTTAAGCGACACAAGTGCAGCCATCGCCGCACTTGCAGCCGGCAGCAGTGGTGACGCTGTTGGTGCAGGTGCAGGGGTTGCAACCACAGTGCTTGCCACGAGCACTTCTTGTGGTCTACTACACTGGGATCATCCCTAGTCTACTACACTGGGATCATCCCCAGTAGACGTGATTGCAATCAGTGCTCTTATAATATATGTGACCCATGTGGCTAGGGTTACAAACAGACATGGGATAGGTATCAAGTGAGTTCACCAAGTTTGTTCTGTCTTCTGTGGAGATCTTGATCTTGAACGAAAGTTGACGTCTTTATTGCCATACTAACCCTTTTTTGTTTTTAGTTTACCACATGATTTTTATAAGAAATGCATTATTACAGCTTCTGGTCAACAAGACACCTTATGAGAAAACCATAGCAAGTGGCTTTGGCTCAGTTCACTTTCTTCTGGATGCTTCTGAACAGCAGCAAGTGAGTTGATGATTTTATTTATTTATTCATTTTTTCTGCTAGAAGATAGAGACAGGTGTTTATAAAATAAAAAATAAATAAAGAAAAGAAAAAGGAAATGATTGAGAAGATGCTATGGGTTGTTCCCTTC